GCGTCAGCGGCGCGTCCTTCAGAAGGTTAGTCCGAGAACGCGGTTCCACCAGCAGTCGTGGCTGTCGTCGTCGCCACACGTACCTGTCCGGAACATACAGACTCACCTGGCTTAAAATAATTGCATTATGCACTTTCCCTCTTAGCAATGTAAATATATATAAAGCTAATGCAAGATCCCCTCTAACCCTTAGTTCATTGTATCCAACCATACCTAAAATAAATAAGGTGGGATACATTAATGGGTAAAAGGGATAGACTCCGTAATAGCGCTTATACAAATATCTTATAAATTTATTTTGTACCTTCTCCAGCATGAGACTATATTTATAGACATGAGCGACAATGCCGCGTCGCGGATCTAATATGTGTAAAAATAAAGGTACAGCTTGGCAAAAAAGAGTTTGGAATGACAGGGATTGATTGAGGTCGATAGTATCGTACCTGTAGTAGCATATTACATTACTACTCCAAGACAAAGGTCTAAAGGGGTGATTCTAAAGAGTATAATAAGTATGGGTGATTCAGTCCAAGTCAATCCCCTATACTTATTATACTCTTTGAATCCAACTGTCATCGCATCAAACTCTTTTTGCCAAACTGTATTTACAACCTCGGTGACGGTCGGTAAAGGGCATCCGAAGTGGAATTTCGTGAAGATTCGTTGAAAAAAATTGTTGAATTATTGATAATATATGCTGCAAATAAATGATGTCAAACTACCACTAAAGTTTAGTATAACAGCTTTCGCATAAACTGGCTAAGCATTATTTCCCTATTCATTATCATCATCACTTTTTAGGCGTATTAAGAATTCTCTACACTTGAAAGTCTCAACTCTCAATAGTTGTTTTTTTTTGTGGGATGGCAACTCAAAAACCTTTATAAAGTGGCAATTAAATGTCTTGATTGACAAATTTGACAAAAACTGTTTTGACTTTGACGTAAAGTGTCACGATTTAACATTATTTTAGAGCCTAGATAGTAGATTATAATTACAATAAAGGTATATTTTTCAAAAAATTTAGGGAACTAATCTGACATTAAATATTTAAATGGGTTTTTGTATCAAAATAATATTGTTGTTGGCTGTATGGTTTGATATCGCACTCAGAAAAAACAAAATAGTCAGTTGTCTGTGGATTGCTAAGAGTTGCCATCTTTTATAATTTACCGTAATATTAGGACTTACATTATTAGTCATAAAGTCCGTAGTCATACAACTACAAGGGCATATATTTATCTAATAAATTGCTTTACGAAGCCAATATGGCAAAAAGAGTGCTAAAAACGAGAAATAAAAGTACACAGTAAGCTTCATCATTCTTATTTTTAACTTTATGTTGAATAAATGGTTCAAACATTATGTGTAATATTTACTGTGTTGAATAACTTCGACAACAGTCAATAAAGTTGTAATTGTTATGACAAAGAACATATTGAAAAAATAATTATTTTTATCTGACATCGAAGATTACGAATAAATTCAAGTTATGGTTGCTTTAATATTACGATGTTTTATCACAAAATTGTTGTATCCGACAGTATTGTATTTTCTAACCACCTGTATCTGTACATTATGGATGCAATAAATATATGCTCCATTGATTGACTTGGTCATTTAAGCACATAGTACTTACTCAATAAAAAGTTTTATTGAACTGTCAAGTTAGTTTCATTAAATTATAAAGTTGGGAAAGTTTTGTTAAAACCTAGCAACATTTCTCCCTGCTCATACGAACGCAAGATGGCTGCCAATTTATGTGAACGCAAGGACAAGTAGAAAAGTGGTATCCGTTTGTGATATTTCGTTTATATTTGTGATAATAACATTATAAATATTATCATTGTTTTGTGTATGTGCTTGGAAGAAGTTTTTGTGCAATATATTATGAGTTATTAATGTTTTAAAAGTAGTTTGTGTAATCTTACGTTTGATGGTACAAAATGTTCCTTGTTGAATTGTGATTATTTATGCAGTGATACAAGTTTTTGGATCGCTATGACGCTTGTTGTTGGATGATATCAGTGTTATCATGTAAGTGTGTAATTTTTAAGTATATATTATTTTATTTGGCTTAGTATAAGTGAGTTGAAAAATTTCGTCAGTGTTGTAACCTATTTGCCTATATAGGGTTTTCAGTGGCGTGGCTGTCGAACGAACCGGCGGCTAGCCGGTGCTTCGTCTGCCACAGCTGTTAAGTTCTCACGTAAATAACGCTTTGATTTCCTCCACACCTCGGTTTTTTGCCGTTGAAAACGAAACATGCAATGAAATAAATGTTATTGTGTTAGTTAGTCATGTAACAGATGTTTTAGTAACGATACGTCGAGGCAGACCCTCGGTGTACGTTAAAAATGTTCACTACATTATCCTCAGTCGTGATCTGGCATGTACATTTTTATATTCATGTAAAAACAATTATTTTTTCTGCTCGATTGACACGAACGCGCGATGATTTCATGTTTATGTATGTAATCTTTATATTTACGATGTCTGAAGATGTCTAATCAAGCTTAGCTTATATTACTTCCAAATGCCTTGGTAATACGTCATTCTGTTTAGGAGATAATGAGGGACAAACAAATAAGTAAGTAGGCCACACATTGGTCCTTTGTTTTAAACTTTCACTGTAGGCATACATATGATAATTATATGTAGTTGAGTGTAACAATAATGTTGTTCTAACTGTTCGTTTCAATAGGACATGAATTCAATTTAATTTCTATACATAACCACTATGTTTTACGTTATACAATACAAATAAGTAATATTATGAATTTGTAACAAATTATTTATATACAATAATTATTGCCGAATACTATACTGAAACTAATGATTCAATAATATTACAGCCAATATCTTATTAAGAATACAATAAAACAATCAATTTCATACTTAAATATGTTCATTTGTGGTTAATTACTACCCATACCTAGAACTTATGGTGATACACCGTTTTATCCCACAAAAGATACTCATCTACGATGTTCCACCACCTTTTTAACTATTCCATAACATTATTGGTAAAAAGTCCTTTGAAATACAGGATGAGCCCATTACCATACATTGGTCGAATTCCAGAGAATTGGGATAATTATTGTATCAATTCAATCTCTATTAAAAGCCCCATCAATTTAACCGGTCAAATACCATCATTATAGACACAATTATAGAACAATAGGTCACGGTCACCGGTGACCGCTTGGTGTTTGACAGTTTAAATACTCATTACAACTTAACCTTTTAACCAATATCTAATTTCCATTTAAGAAAGATGAATATCATTTACATACTTTAAAGTAGTTGCATAGTTAAATAAAAATGTAATTTTATATTAGCATCACATGCATTCAACTAATTGAATGTTTTTCTAACCATTTATAGGACTTTAAACTGTGTTTTTAATATATAGGAATAATACGGCAGTTTTATTCTCATAGTTTTTTACCTATCAAAAGAAATATGCAAATTATTTCATTATCATAATAAAAACTAAAAAGCTATGAATGTTCAAAAATATTCAACAATGTAATAAGAACCTATTCATGCCATTCATTGGCTTTTTGTTTGTTTACATCCATTATCTTATTGTTTTCTTTCCTATATGGCATTAAAACTTTCAAACATGCAGTACATAATATAGAAAGTGATTGTCCTGTGATCCAATTACAATCTAAATCTGAATGTTAATAATCTATGAGATTAGATCTTCTAAAAATGATATTATAACTCCTGATGAAGTATTGCATAGTTGTTTATTGTTATACTGAGTCTGGTAGCAACCAGATTGCTTCTTTAGTCGCGTGATTGTAAACGCGACTACCGACATCGAGGTCTCAGATTCGATCAGCTATTGTGGCTTAGATTCGACCCCAAACACAATAGAACTTTTAAACCTAGTGAAAGTATTATGTCCTGCCTACCTATTCAAGCAATAACAGGCGTACATACAATATACATAATGCGATGGACATGAAACGAAACATTTTTGACCTAAAATGTCACCATTAAAATTGGGGTTATAGAACACGCGTTCCCTACATACGATGTTATAGGTATAATTCGCTGTATGTAACCTTATTTTCATTATTCTCATATTTCGATTTATGAGGACGACAGTTGACGATAATGGCAGCGGAATATGACACAAAACCGAGGCTTTATAGGCAGTACAAGTTTCTATTCACACATCTTAAGTAAACTAGAAAAAACAACCTTAAAGTTAACTTAGCAATCTTAACGTCCATACGAAGAATATTAGACGTTTTTCTGTGTTAAAATACGTAAGGCACGTATACCTACGTACTGGTTATAGCGACGGCAAAAAAACCTGGGCGCACTCTACCTGGCATGGCAATTGGTCACCACCGCAAAAAGACATCTGCAATATTAGAAAATGTAGCAGGTGCGTTACCCACAGTCGTTTCTGATTAGCTGAAATGCGCGCTTATAATAAAGGATGAAATATAAAATGATTCTTCTCATCCCCCTCTGTTTTTGAAGTCGGTTAAACCTGTCCCTAGTGTAACAAACACTTTTCCAAAAACCGCATTAAATTTGGTTCAGCCAATCGCGAGATAATTGAAAGAAAGAAAGAAAAATAGTTTATTTGTACCGTCACAAACTTGTAGTTTGTAACACGGAAAAAATTGCAAAAAAAAAAACAGTGAAAACGGCGCAAAAAGGCCAGAGCTTAGCATAAATGCCGTACAAACATACATACATACATCAGATCAAACTGAGAACCTCCTTTTTAACCGACTTCCCAAAAAAGGAGGAGGTTCTCTATTCGTGTTTGTTTTTTATGGTTAACAGCAATATTTTTTATGGTTAACAGCGAAAGTAAATACTAATGCAGTTTAAACTACACAGGTAGTTGCTATTTTGGTCAACCAATCCGTAACATGATATTTTGAAGTTGATTAAGCGATAGCTGATTAGAAACATGATCTCGTTTTCAGTATAATGTGCATGTGGCCGTTCACACTGCCAGCTCGAATAGATATTCGTACGACAGTCGCAATGCACACGTCACGCGGTCGCACGTACTCCCCAGCCACGAACGTTTATACATACACGTATTGTATTTACATAGGTATATCGGAGTCGTGATCATAATGTTTTCAAACAATAAATTATTTAAATAACGATATGGAAAACAAACACCCTGTCACTACATAAGCGGTTGTAAACAGTTTGACGGTTGCGTGCCGTGAAACATTATTTTTATTAGATATTCCGAACTAAAACATTACCAAAGTTACAAACATTCTATTTGTCTTCTTATTCGCACTTGAAACGTTAACGCAAAGCTTGTATTGTTGTTAAGTAAATAAAGATGGGTTTTATCCAACCGTTGCTCAGCAAATATTTAGCCAATTACATTTAGAGAATACTGAATTCTTCACAATGCAAATAAAGACGCATTTGCCGTGCTCATGCTTGAGGCATGGTATTCTTTTTGCAAAGAGCGAACCTTGTGAAATCGCTTGTTACTTTTGTAAATATTCGCGTTCGTTTATGTGATAACTGTGGGTCTGAGCAATCAGAAACTCCATCGAGTAATTCCGACGATTCGATAACATGAGTTAAAAAGTATGTAATTCTGTTGCGCGGGCTCAGTGCCGCCTTTAACATTATCAGGTAAAAGCTACGATGGTATTGCAGATAATTTGGTGTAAGGTTCATTGACATTACACCCTACCGTTCGACGAATCCAGCCAGGGTTCGCTCCTTTTAAAAGAACTGGTCGTGTGATCATTAGCACGCATAGGACCGGTTCCTCCATCCATCATGTTATGGCAAGCTACTGCTTTTGTAAATGGGCACTGCCTGCCTCTGTAACCCTAGATAGCCACATTTTCGCAGTGATTTTATCATCAGAAATTGCACACGTGATTCGATTCGCGAAAATGGGATTTTTGCCCGCATATCCGATTCGTTGCACTTTTTGTGACTCACGTACGGTTGCAAGCTTTGCTACAGGCAACACGCACCGTTTGATACAAAATATCTGTTACTTTCTACGCCAAAAAATAAGGGGGTTGCCTAAGCTGCCATGTCGTAGTAGATGTCGTTGACACGAAGGAATTTCATTGTAATGGCGACTGGAATTCGCTGTGTCAACGCGTGTATGTAGGTGTTTTGATTGAGTCATTAAAATATTGAGTCAGTATACTTTTGTAGTTATCATGGGTCTGTGAATCATATAAAGAATTACGATGAGTTCTGCGTTGTTTGTATAATTGTACCGATCAGTAAGGTATAACACAGTGGCTACTGGAATATATTCAGATTAGCGAGAGATAACTATCAAAGAAACTTGACTAAGAGTCGACGAAACAGTATCCAAACGGTAATATTCAGAAAATAACTAACTAGTATCCTTTACTAGCTAAGTCTCATATTTACACCTTCTAATAACGTCACACTCTCTCATGAACTTGTTTAGTTTGTTAAAAACTATAAAGGCTGCTTGCCATCATTTACTTATTGAGTAAAGGTCTTCTATGTCCTTTCACAAACAGATTGGAACATAATCCATCACACGACAGCGGTGGATGTCGCATATTTTTTTTATTACGTAGCCGTACTTCGTCAGTATTTTATTATTCGTGACATGTAATTTTTTAATTGCTTTCATAAAAGTCTGCTGGACAACCATGACCGGTTCTTTATTATATTGTAGTAGGTAGTATTTAATATCAATATTTATTTATGTTGAAAGGATGCGTCCTTTCCTTTACCGTCGATGACCATTACGATGCGTCTTAAAATGCCTCGGTGGCTATTATAACATTAAAAATAATAATGATTATGATGGCGCAGCAGTTTAATATAAATAATAATATTATTGATATTACCTAGCTGAATAAACACACCTGCAGGGTGCACCTGGCTTATTATATCGCCATTGATCGAGGGGGTTTTAGTTGGAACGATCGGGAACCTTTTAAAGCGTTTTAAATTTTCGATACGCTTTCATGGAATCCCATATAGTGTTTTTTGCTGATAAATAAATCCATTAACTAATT